AATGTCATAAAACAACATGTGTACTACTGTTTCATGAGAAACTATCTGTTCTGTAAGCCTTCACCTGAAGTACAATAAAATATAAAAATATATATATTTCTGAATATTACACACAGCAGTGAAGCACTTTAATTAAAAAACAAGTTTAAACCATACTTAATCATTCATCTTTCTCCCTTTCTGCCAACTTCCCTCCGTTCTTCACAAACACATGAAGCAATTTATTATTTCCCCAAACAATAAACCATTTATCATAATTTTACTCTATTTATTGCTAGTCTTTACAGGTAATTTATATTTCTCAATATAGATTAATTAGAAAAATCTTGCATAAGCTAAATCTGCACATTCAATACAAGCATAAAAATACAGGTAAGTCATGAATAGAATGGTATCCATCAACTGTCATTTTACGCACTGAAAGCGGTAATCAATAAATTGATGACTTTTAAACTGATCATTACAAAGTTACTACATTTGTGATATTCATAGATATATAGCAAGTGTTGATAAAATGCAATAGTGTTTGGCTAAACCATGTTTAGAGGTAAACAAACATTTCTTGAATATCTGATGCCTGCCAGGCACTAAGCTAGGTATTTCACATATATTATTTAATCATCACAATAACTATCTGTAATAGATATCATATCCTCAATATTACCAATGAAAAAATGGACTCTGAGAAGTAATATAACTGGTAAGTAGCTGTCATGGATTGAATTATGTCCCCCAAAAAATGTGTGTATCAATTTGGCTGGGCCATGATTCCCAGTATCCTGTGGTTGTCCTCCATTTTGTGATTGCAATTTTATGTTAAAGAAGATTAGGGTGGGATTGTAACACCCTTACTAAGGTCACATCCCTGATCGAAGGTAAAGGGAGTTTCCCTGGGGTGAGGCCTGCACCACCTTTTATCTTACGAAAAATAAAAAGAAAGGGAAGCAAACAGAGAATGGGGACCTCATACCACCAAGAAAGAAGTGCCAGGAGCAGAGAGCATCCTTTGGAGCATCCCTGCAGGGAGAAGCTCCTAGTCCAGGGAAGATTGATGAGAAGGCCAACAGGGAGAGAAAGCCTTCCCCTGAAGCTGATGCCCTGAATTTGGACTTTTAGCCTACTTTACTGTGAGGAAATAAATTTCTCTTTGTTAAAGCCATCTACTTGTGGTATTTCTATTATATCACCACTAGATGACTAAGACAGTAGCAGAGACAGGATTCAAATAAAAACAAGTTCTACTGAAATAAAATTGAAGGAGTGAAAATAGTTTTAAGATGACTTTCTTATAGAAATGACTTCTATTTCACAATCATTCTTATTCCCCTTAACAAAACTCCAAATCTGTTTGGGGGAACCATCCCTCCAACACTCTTAATCCATAAATTTCCAGGAGAGCTAACTCTATCTCTTGTTGCAGGAGTAGGTATGTAGCTCAAGTCAACCCAAACAGATCCAACATGACATAATACCACAACTTTTTTTTGGAACCACTAGCACAGAAGCAAAAAACTGGTAAGGATGTAAGCCTGTAGCTGGCAGCTATCCTACTTCCAGAAGATTAGAGCCTATTTGCAAATGGAGCCAATATAAAGGAAAGCAAAGTTAACAGTTGAAGAGGGTCGAAATAACATTATTTGAGCCACTGAATCAAGCTTTACCTGAAATCATCCATATCATGATCTTTTTAGTTATGTAACCCAAAAAATTTCCATTTGCTTAAGCCATTTTGAGTTGGAGATTTCTATCACTTGCTCACTGCAACTATCAATAAAAATTTAACGGCTTAAATCATCTCCGGAAACCAAATAACGTATCAATTATTCCCAAACTGCAATTAAAACAAACAAACAAAAAAAAAGGTAATAGGAATCAAGGAACCACTTTCAGTATTTCAAAAAGTTTAATGGACTTGTACATTGACCTAGGATAAGGCCACTAAAGCTAATTAAAATATGAATTCCATGTGACTAGATCATTTCAGTGTGAAAATTTCAGTTATCTTGTTTTAATTAGTTCAAAATGGAAGTACATTTTTAAAATAATCTTTAATTTAAAACTGAAAAACAAATTGTTACTTTAAAAATACAGTTTATTTGGTGGACAAGCTGTTTTAAAACACAACCTTGGGGGAAATTTTTCAAAATGATCATTGGAGAAGAAAATATCAAGAACTATCATATTACTTTGAAATATACTCAATAAAACAATTCACACCTTTAATATACAAGCAATTCCTGACTAACTCATTAATTTGTGACTGCTTTTCTATCCTTCCACCCTGAGGCTATTCAGCTTCCTGAGACAACAAATAAGCAGTCTCGGCTAAGGGCACCACCTAGCGTCTTGTATGGTCACTATCTGTCTCACTGTCTTTTTCCACTTCCTTTCCTGCTAAAGGAACACATCGTTCTTCTGTCTTTAATGATTTTTCCAAAAGCCATTTTTTTCTCACTCACTTATACATACGCATTGTCTTAAGTCTCCTCTCATTTCTCTCTCAACAATTATCCAATTACTTTCGGAGCAACTATGCAGTATGCCCTTGATTTCTGCCAATCATACTGGGTGTTTTACCTACATTGGAGCCCTGGTGGTGCAGTGGTTAAGAGCTATGGTGAGCTATGGATGCTGACCAAAAGGTCTGTGGTTCAAATCTACCAGCTGCTTCTTGGAAACTCTATGGAGCAGTTGTACCCTGTCCTATAGGGTCATTATGAGTCTGAATCCACCGGACAGCAACGGGTTTTTTTTGTTTGTTCGTTTATTTGTTTACCTACATTACCATCACAAATACTTTGTAAAGTTAATACTATTAATATCCTCATTCACATGCCCAAGATCACATATCACTGGAGAGGCAGTGTGATTTAAAAGCCCATCTGTGGGCCCGGCTACCAGCAATGACTGCCCTGACAGGGAACACAATAGAGAATCCCTGATGGAGCAGAAGAAAAGCGGGGCACGGAACTGAAATTCTAGGAAAAGATCAGACATAATGGTCTGACTGAGACTGGAGGAACTCCAGAAAGCATGGGCCCCGGATTCTCTGTCAACCCAGAACTAAAACCATTCCCAAGGCCAACTCTTCAGACGAAGATTACACTGGACTATGGGACATGATAAAGATACTCGTGAAGAGTGTGCTTCTTTTTTAGTTCAAGTAGATACTTGAGACTAAATGGGCAGCTCCTGTCTGGAGGTGAGATGAGCAGGCAGAGAGGGTCAGGAGCTGGTTGAATGGACACGGGAAATCAGGGGTGGAAAGGAGGAGTGTGCTGTCACAGTACAGGGAGAGCAATTAAGGTCACATAACAATGTATGTATAAACTTTGTATGAGAGACTAACTTGAATTATAAACTTTCACTTACAGTACAACAATTTAAAAAAAAAAAAGCCTATTTGCTTAATTACTACTTATACAAAACCAAAAAACCTGGTGTCGTCAAGTTGATTCCAACTCACAGCAACTACTTATATAGCCCTTGCTTTTTCTCAATTCTTCTTCTCATACTGTGGTCAAACCACAAATCCAACTGATGAAAATGGTAGTAAGTGATTCAGCTGTATTTCAGAAGAAAACAAAAGACATTAAAAGTGAAAATTAGATTTTAGAAACATAAGGCCCATCTACCACTTGAAAGTGTCCAGAAGTTCCAAGTTTCAAAAAGCTGTCATTTATTTTTTTCACTTTTTTATAATTAAGCCTAGTTTTCCTCAAATATCATTACAGAAAATAATGTTCTTGCTCATTTCTACTGGTTACAGAAATGTCATTTTCTAATTTTTGCATTATAAACTATTATCTTCTAGTTATCATCAGTTAAATCAATTTTAGGGGAGGGTTTTGATCAAACCATCACTGTTAACATATTTATTTTAAGAAAATTCAAATGAATATTGATATACGGATAAATAGACCAATGGAATAGAACAGGGAAAGCAGAAACAGACCACACACATACAGAAAACTCCACATATAAGGAAGCAGACTGTTCAGAAAGTTATGCTAGGATAACTGGTTATTTATATGTAAAACAAACTCAATCTCCAACTCTACCTCACATCATACACAAAAGTTACATCCAATTGGATTAAAGATCAAAATCTTTAGATCACACACAGAAAATTCTTAAAATCTTGGGGTAGAAAGGAATTTATTAATCAAAGCATAAAACCATAAATCATAAAAGAAAAAGATTGACAATTTTACAACTGGTGTGCAACAAAAGATCACAAAGTTAAAGGCAACTCACACACTGGGCATAGACACATGCAACAAACCTATATGCAAACAAATCAAAGACTTAGTATCCAGAAAATATAAAAAAACTCCTACAAATCAGTAATTGTAAATGAGCAAAAACTGAGCAAAGGACACTAATAGGCAACGCACAAAAAAGTACCCTTAAAAGGCAAATAAACATAGAAGATGCTCAACCTCACTAAAAAATTTTAAAATGCAAATTAAAACCACAATGAGATAGATTTCACACCTATCAAAATAGAAATAAACTAAAATTTTAATGATACCAACTCTTAGCTAGAAAATTTCGAAAGGGAAGTCAAGTCTAAGGTAATGCTGGCAAGAACAACTCAGTAATACCTAGCAAAGTGCAAGATGCGCATATCCCTCTGACCCAACAATTCCACTCACGGGTATAAATCCTTGACAGCATTATCTAATAGAACTCTCTGTGATAATTAAAATATTCTTTATCTACAAAATCCAATACATTAGCCACTAGCCACATGTAAGCACTGAGCACTTGAACAATCGCATTCCTGAATTAATTTTTAGTTAATTTAAAATACCACATGTGAATACCAAAAAAAACAAATCCATTGCCATCCAGTTAATTACAAGTCACAGCAACCCTATAGGACAGAGTAGAACTGCCCATAAGGTTTCCAAGGAGCAGCTGGTGGATTCAAACTGCCAACCATTTGGTTAGCAGCCGAGCTCTTAAGCACTGTGCCACCAGGGCCCCATGTGACTAGTGACTACCATATTGGACAGTACAGCCCTAGAGAAGCTTTCACATATGTATTAATGGATAAGTACAAATACTTTGATTGCAGCAGTGCTTCTTATAGTGAAAAACCTTTAAGTAATCAACCAGAGAATAAATGGTGACATACTCATATAATACTACATAACAGAAAATAAATTACAGATATGTGTACTAACAAATAAATCTCAAAAATATAATATTGTGCAAAGAAAGCAAGGTGAAGGACATACACAGTAAAATGGCATTTACATGTTTTAGAACCTGCAAATCAATCCATCATATTGTTTACAGATACATACATACATACATAGTGTAAGCACTAAGAAAGGCATTACAGCTTTAAACACCAAATTCAGAACATCAGTGACTTCTGGGATAAGAGAAAGAATAGGATTGCAGAGAGGTACACAGAGGGCCTCAACTGCATCTATATGTTTTATTCTCCTTCCACCCCAAATCTTCGACAAATACAGCACAGTCTTAAGCTACGACCAAATAAAATACTGAGAACATGGATATTTGTTATAATATTGCTAAATTTTTCTATATACTTAAAATATTTCATAAGGAAAAACTAAAAACAAAATCTACGCTACAAACCGTGGAACGCAACCACTTGCAAGTTTGAGACTTCCTGTTTATTCTTTAATTTCTTCCCATCTCAATCACACAACTTACCAACATCCATCACCAAGTACAACGAAATCAAATCTGTGAAGGTCTAAAATACCAAATTGTATTTTCATGATAAAGCATAGTCTGTTGCTTAAATGTTTTCTATTTCCTAGTAAAAGCAGTGAAAAGGCAAGGTTTCTCTTTCTTATGACTTTCTGACTTCTTTTTCAATTCCCCTGTGCCATATTTGTGGAAATTGAGAATTTCAGCATGAAAAAAAAAAAAACAAAAAACAAAAAAACTGTGCTATAAGAATTACCCTTGGGATAATTCATGGATTCCTGAGCCAGGCCATTTAGCCATGAGGTCACCTATAACATATGTTTCAAATAACATTTAATCTTCTTTACTCAACTCCTTATTAAATGTTTATGTTTTGCAACAACTGAAGAACTCACAGGGACCACATACTAGGTCTTTTTGCCAAACAGGACACTCTGCTCTCAGCTGGTTTTAAAAATCAAAAGCTAATAAATGTGCTCATGAAAACAGAAACAAGCCTGTCTCCAAGTTCAAGTTTTCTTGGATTGGTCAATCCTATTGTTAAGAAGCACAAGATACATGTTTTATCAATTAAACTCCTGTCAATCCCTATGACTGTAAGTTCCACAAGAGCAAGTACAGTGTCATTATTGTATCCCTAAAGACTAACACAGTATGACTGAATGAACAAATGAATAGTGTGTGAATAAAACTACCTTTTTATTCATCAGTATCAAATGTGTTCCATGTTGGTTTCTGTTGTGCTTCATAACTTGGTAAGATAAAATAATATAAAAAAAATGGAAATAAACATGATTTGATAAACCAATTCTAACTCAGTGCTGGAGCTTCACACCAGTACTTGAAGTTCAAAAAGTAGGAGAATCTCAAAGCTCTCCCTCTCTCCTCTACCCTATCTCTCAGAGGAAGCACTGATAAACAGGATGAAGGCCAAATCTTTAAAGTTAAATCTCTCATGTATACACCAGATTTACTGATCTGACAGACTGGAGAAACCCCGAGGGTATGGCTCCCAGACACTCTTTTAACTCAATACTGAAGTCACTCCTGAGGTTCACCCTTCAGCCAAAGACTAGACAGGCCCATAAAACAAACAATAATAGTAACACAGGGGCAAGGACGAGAAGGCAGAAAGAACAGGAAAGCAGACAAATGGAAATGGGGAACCCAAGGTCAAGAAGGGGAGAGTGTCGACACACGGCGGAGTTGGCAACCAAAGTTACAAAACAATATGTGTATTAACTGTTTATTGAGAAACTAATTTGCTCTGTAAACTGTCACCTAAAGCACAATTAAAAAATTTTTCTTCTCCGGTATTATGGCAAGGTCTTCTCTCAGTGCTCCATTTGGCTGATGCACTTATACTTGGGAACGACTGGCCAAGCCAGGAGAAAGGCATGAAGTATATGATTTAGGACGGCCACTCTAGGCCTTAGGGTAAAGGAGTCTTTTCCTTGACCCATTAACCCTTGAATTCATGCTCTCTTGCTTCTTTCTCCCCATCAAAATGCTAAGATAGTAAAAACCAATGAATGCAGGAGAAAATGGACAAAATGACCTGCTGCAGAATTAGTAAAAAAGGAGCTTTTGTAAAAAATATAATTACAAATGGTCAATAAAACAAAAATGTTCTCAAACTCACCAATAATCTGGGGTGAGGGGAGAAGCTTATTAGAACTGTTAAATGTCATGGTTTCACTATCACACTGGCGGCGTGTGTAAATAAGCACTATTACATTCTATTCTAAGTGATACAACTTTTATGAAAGACAATTTGGCATCTATCAAAAATTTAAATGTGCATCTTATAGAAAAATTAATACAATTTTGCAAAATTATAAGCAAAAAGATGATAAAATATAAGTGGTTTTGGTAGTTTAAAAAAAAAAAAAAAAAAAAACTAGGAAAACTCAAAATGTCCATGAATAGGAATCTGGTGTAAAAAAAATCAAACCAGAGCTCCAGAGAAAAGAACAGAGAAAATGGTAGAAAGGAAATTACTAAAAATGTAGTAAGTCTCTAGATTAGAAGGACACATCTTATGCCCAGCACAATGAAAGAAAGAACAGGTATACTAAGAAAAACCACATCAAGAAATTTCAGAATACTAGGGAGAAAGAGAAGATCCTACCTAAGAGTTCATACAAAGAACTGGCAATCAATTCAGATCAGTGGGGGCAACACTGACTACTAACGCAGCAATGCTTCAAAATCTGAAGAAAAGCTATTTTCAATCTACTATACCCAGTCGAAATACCAACCTAATATAAGAGTAAAATACAATTTTAGATCTGTAAGTACTCAAAAATTATATTTTTCACACATTCTTTTTTAGGAAATTCTGGAGGACATGATCCAGTAAAATGAACTAATAAGAGAAAAAAAATTAATGATAGGTGCCTGAGAGATTACAAATTAGCCCATAGGAAACTAAGCAAATGAATAACCAAGGCGATATGTAACAAAATAACACCAGGTAGGAGGGGAGTATTTTGTTAAGTAAATAAATATAACAGACATTGAGGTTGGCAGGAGACTGTTGTATTTTATTACAAACCTCTGATACTAACTGGCTTGTTACTCATGTGCAACAATTAATTTAATACAAAAAATTCTTAGCATTATCAACTCTGATGATATAAAATTAATACAAGTTGAGAGGTTTAGAAAGTAAGAAGCACAACTAACGAAACAAGAAATAATAAACTTTCCTTATTTTTTAAAGTTACAAAGTAAATGATTTAAAAACTAAAAACAGTGATCAAAACTAGGAAGGACTGAGAAATGGAAGAGGTGGTGTGAGATAAAGATCTGCCTAAAAACAGAAGAATATAGAAGAGCAAATATATCAAGAAACAATATAAATATATGTATACACGCTACAATAAGTACTCAGAAAGAGTTAAAAATGGTTGCTGTGGGGGGCAGAGTTGGGATCGGGAAATGTGGGACAGTAATCTTCTCTATTTGATTTTAAACCACGTGCATATATTACCACTGAGTTTTTAAAAAATGGCTATAAGATACAATGCATCAAAGGCCCATGAAGTTTGCTGACATTTGGTACCAAAATAATTTTTTCAAAAAGATGAAATGCATCTAACAGACTTCAAAACCTAGAAAACTATCATTTAGAACATTCTTATAAAGAAATAAAACAGAAGTGAGAAATACTAATTTATCGAGAAGAAAGCTGTGGAGGGAAAGGAGTATTCCCAAATAATATGAACACGTAGAGAAAGAATGAGCAATGAAATTCAATCTGAGTCATTTAATTCAATGAGCTGTTAATTGAGAAAAATGATTACATTAATACCTCATTTCCACCAACTCTGAGGCAAAGAAGTCACTACCTCAACAAAAACAAAATCGTAACAAAAGTTCACATTGCTAAAAGTTTTGAATTATATCTAACCATTTTTTTACATAATTCTGAAAAAAAATACATTTGAGCACATACTTACATGTTCAAAGTTGCTAAAAGTTTTGAATTATATCTAATCTTTTTTTTTACATAATTCTGAAAAAAAAATACATTTGAGCACGTACTTACCTGTTCAAAACATACAACAAATAAATATATTCTATATGGGCCAAACAAGGAGAAGGTTGAAAAGCACTGAATTAAGGTATAACCATATGTTATTATGTATATACATACACATACACACACATCATGCTATAGAAAATCATTTAGTAATGTAAGAAAATAATGATAAAAATTTAAGGAAAAAGAAATGCAAAACTATATTATTAACATCTAAACATACTACATAATCACTTCAGCCCACAGCACTCAACAATGAACATAAATGACAGCTGCACTGTCTGATTTTTTAGAGATGAACCTCTCAGTTTGTCAGTTGATATGTGAATTATCTGACATTATAATCTTTCATATTTTCCTACAGCTAAATAAAATGCCTCAAATTTTGATTACTTCTAATCTATTATACTAAGTCTGAAACCAATTAATGATGTACTGTACCCTGCTAAGTAGAATTAAATTAGTGTGTAATTGATTAGTGTATAATTGAAGTAGTTGTAGATTTACCAACTTTAATTAGGATGGCTTACTACAGATAATTTACACTATAATATAAAAGAGAAAATAGAAGCAAGAAGTTCATCAAAACCTTAAATTAAGATCAGAGAGACAAATACTATAGATTAGAAAGGGTCATATGCTAATACCAAGTACTTTGAACGTAAATCATTTCAGTACAAATCCTTTAAGAGGAGAAAATTAATTATTAACCTTTCAGCCTAGATTTTCCAAGTAATTAGACTATTTATGATCTACTAAAACAGGTGATGCTAACTTATACGAGGGAAAAGAAAATACATATTGATACTATTTGACTATCTACAATACTGAATTACAGGAAAAAGAACATCTATTAAAATACTAAAATATTTCTCATAATACTTTTAAAAAGGAATTCAAGCAAAAGAAAATCCCTTAACTCTTATCCTAAAAATAAATATAAGACAATTTATCGAAAAGAAGCAAGTGAGCTAAAAGAGTATCTCAGCAACAAAACACAGAAGTAGTATCTACAGTTCTCAACACCCTTGTGTGTGGTAACTACGGCCCAGAAAGGTCTACTTGTAAGTTTCTCACTCCCCTACCCCAACCCACCCCCAAGTTTAAAGCCATAGTAAAGAGGTTCATTATCTTACATGCTAATGACACAAAGGTAATAAGCTTATAATGAATAAATCATATATTAACAGATCTCACTGTGATGCTCATTGCTAATAGTTCATTTACAGTATAAGCTACACTGCATTTTTTCTATAGTTTAAATTTATGTCCTAGACAACCAGGAATCATTTAGAGTGGAAATCTAATTTAATATCTGTAAATGATAATCTTAACCATATATTGGTTTGTATAGTTGTAGTATAATTTTTAATCAATATTCATAATTAATTATAATAACAAACCACAATAAGAATGTCTTATAGAAAGATGAAAGTATCTACACCTACATAGATATCATTACTCGATATCAAAATTTTTTAAATGATATAAAATGCTGAAATGGTATCAATAAATTGTTTTGGTAACCACTGTATTAATATCACCACACTCCTTACTTTAAAATGTACACATAGATTATTTTGGAACTTTGAATATCAAAATATGAATAAACTACTTAGGTTCCTTTTTATGCAAATATTTATTATAAAATAATATCAAATGTAAGATAACATTTTGGGTGACACATAAAATCACAGTTGTCTTCAATTTTTACCCAGTTTTATAATACATCGTAGTTGTTGAATCTATGTTAACAAATTAAAGTAATATTACTCATTGTCAAAATGACTTTCTTGTGTAAAGTTTCAATAACTCATTTCATAGCCTACATATATTCTGGAAACCTTTATGTAACTAAATTATTGTGATTTCAATTTCTCTAGAACAGATATGTAAAATTTTTGTGCTTCTACAATGACTCTTCCTAAAATAAATTTATTTCTAAGCTAACATTGTTTTAATACATAGGTTAGATTAGTGAAGACAGGCTAGGTGATTAGGTGCAGGGAACAAAATCTCAGTGACTTAAAACAAAAAGGTCTTTTTATCGCTGACACTAGATGCTCATCATGGGTCATTTGAGGGCTGTACTCTGCCTTTTCATTTCAGTACTGAAGATGATGGAGCAATCACCATTTCAAAAGCTGTTCGTCATCATGGCAGACGAAAAGAAAGCTCTGGGCAGTGTTGCACTGGTAATTAAGTGCTCCCGACCAGAAAAACACATTTCATTTCTGCTCATAACTTATTAACCTAGCCATCTGAGACAGTTAAGCCTTGAAAACATTTTAAGTCTTCAAAATTTCAAAAAAAAAATTTTTTTTTCATTACTGGGTTATGAAGATAAATTAAATAATGTTTATGAAGATCACTGAAGACAAATCTGATTCCAAATTATTTTTTTTATTTAATCACTATCCTATCATAAAAATTAGTTCTTGCCAAATCTGCTAAAAATATAACCAGGGTAATATTAAGCATCCTTTCAAAACTGCAAACTTGAAAATATCACCTGCCAGAAGAATGAACAAATCTGTCTTGAAAGAAGTACAGCCAGAATGCTCCTTAGAAGTGAGGATGGCAAGTCTTTGTTTCCTGTACTTCGGACATGTTATCAAGGGGAACCAGTCCTGGAGAAGGACATCATGCTTGGTGAAGTAGAGGGTCAGCAAAAAAGAGAAAGACCCTCAACAAGACGGACTGACACAGTGGCTGCAACAATGGGCTCAAACACAGCAACGATTGTGAGGATGGTGCAAGACTGGGCAGTGTTTAACTCTGTTGAACCGACTCAATGGCACCTAAGGACAATGTCTCACCTGACAATCCCCGTAAGAGAGTTAATACTACACAATATAATTTTATATTAACATAACTCACTGTAGTTATGAAAAAGTTTGAAAAAATTTTTATCCACTGACCATAAAAGCATCAAGTGTGCTTTGATTATGAGCTTTTTTCAAGTATGTTATAGAGTACAGGCAGTCCCCAGGTTATGAACCTCTGACTTACACAGGGAACAACTCCTGTAAAATCTATTATATTAAAAATTCAAGGTGCATACAATGGTTCAAAATAATAAATGGGCATTAGCTACCAATGTGCATCAAAACATTATTGTTAATATATTACTGCATTATTATGTTAAAGATGTTTTAGTGTATCTGGAAATTATTCTTTAATGTTTTTTCTACATAGAAAAGTACACTATATACCACATACTAAGACAAACATTTGACTAACTGATGTTAGATACAAACCATAACTAACTGTTCTGACTTATATACAAATTTGACTTAAAGACAGATTCAGGAATAGAATTCATCACAATGCAGCGACTGCTTATATAACATTTTCAAGTTCATAACAATTTTAACATGGAACATTTTAATTAAACATGGAAATACTGAGTTAAAATGGACAGTTTTGCTTTTAAAAGAAAAAATGAGGAAATATAAAAGAAAGTCATAATCGAAGTTCAGTTTCTAGAGCTTAAAGGGTAAATATTGAAAATACTGAGAAACGCATTGACTAATCAAAAAACTCTAACTTCACCTGATCATTATTTTAAAAGAAAAAAAAAAGCAAACCTTCAAACAAATGTGCAAAAACTAGTAAAAATGATAAACCCCAAGTATTATTTGCAGTGATATTTTTTAAATCAAAGATTAAAATCTTCCAAAGGAAAGGCACTTGGAAACACAGCATGCCCAACATTCCTGAAATATTTTTGGAGAAAGAAAAAGACAAAGTTATTAGTATTAGTCTTGTTATCATCATTTAATTGCCAAAAAAATTGGCAAAAAAAAAAAAGATTCACTGAACATTTTTTCACTTTTAGCACGTGCAGGTAGAGAATGTATATTTTTAATAACAAAAGAGCTGAAAATTAAAAGCTATATCTCTTGGTGATGATACACTATTATATACAATCTGTACTACTGAAGAATATTAAGAAACAGTGCTTATTACTAAATTTTAGTCTAGCGTATTTCATGACCCAACCTGATAGTTCTAAATATTACAGTTGCACAACTATTTTACTTCAGATAACATGGAAAGACCATTTAATGTAAGATTTCTCTATTGTATAAATTTTAACCTTCCATATAACTAGTTTAAATATACTTATAGAATTAGAAGAGTATACTGTTGATCAATATAAACTTTAAAAATTTAAAAGAAGTATAATACAGCAGCAAACAGAACTGGAAAACAACAGCTGAATTATTCTTTAAAAAAAAAAAAGCAGTTACCATCAAGTCGATACCGACTCATGGTGACACCATGTGTCACAGAAAACTGTGCTCCGTGGGGTTTTCCAGGTTGATTTTTCAGAAGTAGATCGTCAGGCCTTTCTTCCAAGGCACCTCTGGGTGACCTGAACCTCTAACCTTCAGTTAGTAGCTGACCACATTAACTATTTGTACCACTCAAGGACGTCTCTTAAAACTTATGATACTACTAAAAAAAAATTGTTTGGAATCACTGTTTTACATAATGAAGCTTTAGCAAATAAATTCCACCATATCTCATGGGTAAAGTATAATAAAAACTGTGAACTTTATGAAAGGAAGCTTGCTGAGTAGCTGACTTTCTGAAATATTTTGTTCAGATACTGGAACTAACCATAACCTTTTAAAGCACAATACTGAAGTGCACTGGTTGTTGAGAAAGAAAATACAAAGCAGAGGGGATGGTATAAGTGCAGGATAAGATACACTTTTTTTTCAGGTGAATGAAAATCTGATCTGGTAACTATTGTTGACAAACTGGGTGATGAAATTGGCATATTTAATTGAGTGTTTACAACATCCTTAAAGAAATAATTGTAAAACTAAAGAGAACAAATAATGATATATATTTTTTATTTTAATACATCAGAAACATGGAAAGATTACAAAAGTCATTCCTGTTCTGGCAAATATGAATTGAAAGTAAACATCTTGGTTTCTATATATTCCCAAGATTATGTATCTTATTGAAAGAAAACATTGTTAATGAAAACAGTTTTGAAATAAATGAGAGACACTGCAACTTCTCACTTCTTGGCTGAAAACATTTCATTACTAATTTCCAGAAAGAAATTTGAAACATTAAATAAAAACATATAAAGGATTAAATTATTTTTTAAAGCTTTAATCAATCATTGCATTAAGTTTGATGCCCAAATAGAGTTATTTTGAATTAACACTAAAAAGGAAATTTCTTCTGCAAAATAAAAAGAACAAACCACCATTCACAACAACCTATTAATATGAACAAGAATTTCAACCTTGACTTAATTAAAAACAAATGAAAGCAACAGTGTACTAGCTAAACACATAGCATTGTTCTTGTAAATTTATGAATAGGCAAGTATACTCATCCATAAAATATTTTCAAAATTTTATAAATATTTCCAAATTTTTACTTTTGTATTGCTTGTTTTCAGAAGATTTTTCTGACATACTTAAACTTTAGTAAATCACATTTGTTATTAACTTTATTATATTTTTGTTTTATTATATTTAATAAGAGTATTTTATGAAATCTTTATTTCAGGTGTATGAGTGTATGTACACACACCTGCAATGTAAAATGTATATTTTACTATGGGTTGCAGTTGACAATATTTTGATATGTACACAACAGGAGGTACATACAAGAATGTTCACAGCAGTATCGTTTTTAACTGGAAACAACATAAATGTCCATCAACAGGAGAATAATAAGAAAATAAAGTGAGGTATGTTCATGCAATGGAATAATAGTAAACCTCAACAATAAAAATCAATGAACTACATATATATTAATTAACAAGGATGAATCTTGGAAACTTCCAAAACATATGTGAACATTATGGTGTTCAAAATCAAGCAAAATGGAACAACATACTGTTTAGGAATACGTATTTATTTATGGTAAAACTATAAAAGGGATGATTTACAAAACAAAACTGTACTCAGGGGAGTGGTTACTTATGTGGGAGAGTTGGGGGGTTGAGACCCAGGAGAAGCACACAGAAAGCCTCAAAGCTATTGATAACATTTTATTTTTTTAAGTTGAGTGATGGATTCATGGGGATTGCTTTCACTCCTGTGCTTCACAACATTAGACATCTTCTTTTGTTTATATCAAATACATTTTAAGGCAGTTATTAGAAAAATTTATACCAAATTATTGGCAATGGTTATCTCACATGGAAGGAACTGAAGAGTTTTTCTTTCTATATATTTTTTTAATCATTTTGATCCTTTCCAACAAACATATATGTTTGTATTTGGAACAAAAAGGATTAAATTTTTTAAAATAATTTTATAATTTTAAAAAATAATAAAAAGAATGAGGCTTTCCTGCCATTATATGCTCCAGAGAGAAAATGGTTTGGTTATACTACTATTTTTCAAATATACAGGCAGACCCTGGGTTATGAAGGAGATCCATTCCTAACTGTGTCTTCAAGTCCAATTTGTAGGTAAGTCAGAACAGCTGTATACAGTTCTTATTTAGCCTTACTTCAGTGCAAGAAAAGGCTCAAAGACTTTTCAATGATTTAAAAGCTGCATGTGCAACAAGTGAAGGTGATTGTGAAGAATTTGTTGCAAGTAGGGGTTGGTTCAAAGTGAGAACAAATTTACACAACATTAAAGGACAAGTTCAAGCTGTCCCTAGAGCTGTCCCTAAGTAGGACATTTGTAACCAGGGGACTGCCTATATAACAAAACTGTCATGTACATGGTCAGTACAAACACATTTAAAATCGATTTTATAAAATTATATTCTTATGGTTACGTGGAACAAAAATGATCAAACAGCCCAGGTTTTTTAGGACAATTCCACTTTCAAATACTTAAAGATTATATTAGCTCATTGTGTGATGTACATACACATACAGAGAAAGAGAATTAAATTTGAAAATTTCTTTTTGTGTAAATGTTTGCTTTCAGTAAAAATCAATGAACCTAGCTTCTGTCCTCTTAAACCATAAACTTTACAGAAAAGACAGACATAAAAATAAGCAACTACACTGCAAGTACTAATATGCAGGAGTGCAGGATGGAGGGCAGGGGACTAGGGCGAGGGCTCTTGGGTAACTGCTAAAAAAAATCCTGAATCTTCCAGGACAGAAATTAGCCTTCTGGGAAGGACATGGAATTGACCTGACAGAGAGGAACAATACAACACAGGCTTCCAGGCACAATCAAGAAATTGCAACTAGAGCACCCCAGGCTAACTATAAAACTATGGCCTGAACAAAAGAAGGCTCAGGGAGAAACTAGATAGGGGTTTTCAAAGTCATTTGAACCACTGTCCTACTAATCTTCATCACTGATACTGCCCAAAGTTAATCATTCCCTTCTCTAAACTGACTCTGTATCTTACACAGATTATCATTTCCTTTATCATACTATATGATTATTTTACTACTGTTTGGTTAAATTTAAATTCGCTCACAGTTCTCTGATTATATCATCCAAGTCATCATTGCTTTTGCTCCTACTGTACCCTATTCAGAAATCACCTTCTCCTAAGCTGCCTCCACCTTCTCTTATGGGAACCACTATTTGATGCATACTATACCTTCAGTTTTACAATCTGCTTTTCCCACTCAATATAAACTCCATGAGGTCAGGGGCTGGTTTGTTTTACACAGTACTATAAGGACAGGACCTAGCTTAAGACATCAGCTGTCTTGAAGTAACAGTCATCATGAGGTGACCTTGAAGACAGAAGCTAGCATTAGGAAGAGAAAATAGAGCTTGGGTGTCTGAGGACTGTAGACCTGTTACACGAGCCCTGGATTACCTACCTCCAGACTGCTTGTACATGAAACAGAAATAAAGTTCTACCTCACTTACGCCACTGTAATTTTGGACTTTGTGCAGCCAAACCTCAGTCCTAATTGAATGGGTCATTAGCATCTCCTGATAATGAAACACTGAAACACATAAAAGGCCAAAACATGAAATATTGCTAATCAACTATTATTCAAATAGTATAAATTTCTTACAATAGAATTACTTAGTGGCAAGAAAGGTAAATGTCCATTTTACATTCAAATAGGGTGAGAAAATAAAGAGAAAATTCTATCCCTAGAGAAAATTCCCCCAGAAAAGAAAAAAACTATGATTTTTCTATGTACAAACACAGATCAGATCATTTTTTCATTAATTAATGGGATTCCTATTAGGCCTCTCTTTAATGTTGGGCATACAGGATATATGTTGGAATTATTTTAGGTCTATCAAGCATAATTATAGCCATGTACCAGTAGAAATTGTATCAAAGTCTTTTTTAAAACTAAGAACTCTTTAAAAAGAAACTCTAACTCACAAAAATTACTTCTGTACTGTATTTTTACAAAAATTACTCACATCTTTTATGTGTGTTTGCCAACCACCCCCACCCCCAGGTATTTTCACAAGTGCCCCATGACAATTTTGTTTGCAAGTTGCTGTAAAAGAATTAGCATAGAGTGTTGACCAAAATGCCTCAAGGGGAGGAGGGAGGGAGCATAGAATAATAGGGTATATTCCCTTAAGGAATATACTTTAGAATTGTAGAGCTGAAAGCAACCGTAAAGATCGCCTAGCATCTAGATCCAGTCTCTGATGTTACAAGTGAGGAAAGTGAAGTCTGTGACTTGTCAAAAATCACAGTTCAGTTAGCTCACTAAAACTTAGTTCTCCAGGCTCCCATCATCGTCTTGGATCAGAATAGCCTTTTGACCTCAGAACTTTCATAAAGCTATGTTTATTCTTATTTCTTAAAGTTCTATTTAGCACTCATGACACTGGCAGGTACTATCACACCCTAAAAATTAGTGAAAAAAATTCAAACGCAGTTTGGAAAAGTAAAAGGTAGAAAAGTAATGAATATTAAATTTTTGGATTTTAATACAATAAGACCCCAAGTTACAAACTTCCTACTTAGGGACAGCTCTTACTTGCCCTTTATTGTTATGTAAATTTGCCCACTATGAAATGACTGAACCAACCCCTAGTCCCAACAAATTCTTCATCACAATCAACTTCACCTGCTACCTGCGCAGCGTTTAAATCATTAAAAGCCTTCCAGCCTTTTCTTGCACTTGTTGTTAGGTGCCGTCCAGTCAGTTCCGACTCACAGCGACCCTATGTACAACAGAAGGAAACACTGCCCGGTCCTGCACCATCCTCACAATCGTTGTTATGCCTGAGCCCACTGTTGCAGCCACTGTGTCAATCCAATCTTGTTGAGGGTCTTGCTCGTTTTCGCTGGCCTTCTACTTTACCAAGCATGATGTCCTTCTCCAGGGACTGGTCCTTCCTGATAACATGTCCACAGTATGTGAGACGTAGTCTCACCATCCTTGCTTCTAAGGAGCGTTCTGGTTGTACATCTTCCAAGACAGATTTGTTCGTTCTTTTGGCAGTCCATGGTACATTCAATATTCTTCGCCAACACCACAATTCAAAGGTGTCAATTCTTCTTCAATCTTCCTTATTCATCGCCAGCTTTTGCATGCATATGAGGCGACTGAAAATACCATGGCTTGGGTCAGGCATACCTTAGTCTTCAAGGCGACATCTTTGCTTTTCAACACTTTAAAGATGTCTTTTGCAGTAGATTTGCCCAATGCAATGCATCTTTTGATTTCTTGACTGCTGCTTCCAGGGCTGTTGATTGTGGATCCAAGTAAAATGAAATCCTGGACAACTTCAATATCTTCTCTTCACTTTCAGCAAGTAAGGTTGTGTAATCTGCATATCGCAGGGCGTTAATGAGTCTTCCTCCAATCCTGGTGCCCTGTTCTTCACAGAGTCCAGCTTCTCAGATTATCTGTTCAGCATACAGACTGCATAAGTATGGTGAAAGGATACAACCCTGACGCACAACCTTCCTGACTTTAAACCATGCAGTATCCCCTCATTCTGTTTGAACGACTGCCTCTTGTTCTATGTACAGGTTCCTCATGAGCACAATTAAGTGTTCTGGAACTCCCATTCTTCGCAATGTTATCCATAATTTGTTAAGATCCACACAGTCAAACGCCTTTGCATAGTCAATGAAACACAAGTAAACATCTCTCTAGTATTCTCTGCTTTCAGCCAGGATCCATCTAACATCAGCAATGATATCCCTTGTTCAACGTCCTCTTCTGAATCCAGCTTGAATTTCTGGCAGTTCCCTGTCAATATACTGCTGCAGCCGTTACTGAATGATCTTCCGCAAAATTTTATTTGCATGTGATATTAATGGTTATTTTTCAATAATTTCCTCATTCAGTTGGATCACCTTACTTGGAAACAGGCATAAACACGGATCTCTTCCATTCGGTTGGCCAGGTAGCTGTCTTTCAAATTTCTTGGCATAGACGAGTGAGCACTTCCAGTGCTGCATCCGTTTGATGAAACTTCTCAATTGGTATTCCGTCAATTCCTGAAGCCTTGTTTTTCG